GAAACTATGGTTCTTGCCAGAACCTCCACAGAAACCTCCAAAAAATAGACCAAGAACCGTAGAACCCACGGCGCTCGTCTAAAACAGAGATTTTTAAGGCTTCTCAACAGTCATTGAAGCCGAACGAAAAGATGTCGAGCAGAAACCAAACACCAGGATCAAAATCCCACCCATGTAGCTCCCCCGCCACGAAATCCTCTCTTACCAGCTCGCAGTATTGACTCCTCAAGCAACCGAGTCCGCCATTAGAGCACGAATCGAAGCTGCTCAGTCTCGGCGAACTCCTTGCACAAGGGGAAGAAGGGTATTAAAAGGGGCAGCTTTACAGAAAGGCCCTCGTAATATGACAAAATTACCATTTTGGCATGCTCGAGTGTCACGTGCATCAAGCGTGATGGAGAAGCGAAGCAAGGGCCATCAGATGGGCGACTACCATCACTGAGGTGATCATGACCGTCAATTTGAATGGGTCCAGCTGCATCTTGGAATAGATAGCAGCTCATAGTACGAGTACAACCCATCATTGGTTGGGGGCTTGAAGAAATGACATCTAACACATCACCCAGAAGTGAGATGATGACCGACACATTTTTGTGCGCAAAACGAGAGGAAATGATCCCATCCATTTGGCTTCATTGGTTAAAAGGCTAAGAGGATTCTTTGTACCTCAAACCAAAAGAGAGAGAGAGAGAGAGAAGAGAGAGAGTCGAAAAGATTACATGGGCAGGTCAAGCATAGGTCTTGTTATTAGATGTTGAGATCTTGTGTGTGTTTGGATGTATCCTTTTGAATCCTAGTGATGCTACAGTAGAGAATTGGAGTAGGCAAGCAGAAGCTGCGTTGGCTTTTTCTAAACACTGTGCAGCTAAAGGAAGTCAATGGTTGTGAACACTGATATCGGAGAGAGAGAGAGTTAAGTGATTTATATGAGTTAGGTTTAGGAGCTGCTGATAAAGCAAATGGTGGTGATTATGTTCATTTACCAGTGATGATACTTGGATTTCTTATCTTTGATGTACTATTTTCACATATGCTTTTGTGAAAATAGATGGAAGTTTATATTTTAGCTGATTACAGTGTATGACGTTGCGAGTAGGAGAAGATGAAGTCCAAAGCCCTTGCTTTAGACATTGGACTGTGAAACAAGTTGCTTGCATAATGAAGATGAAGGTTAGAACTTGAGTTGGGCATGCGACAATGGCTGTGCTTTTGAGCATATTGCTTTAAAGACAGACCTGGATTTTTTGCTAATACATATGAAGGTTAGACTGTGGATGTTGCTTTAAGGACAGACCTGGATTTTGTGTTGATACATATGACAATGGCCAACCCCATCCCCCAAAAGCCCCCTATTCACTATTTGCAAATGAAAAGTATTTGATGTTGGGGGTTTTCATGGCTCCATAATAAGAAAAATGCATGTTCCTTTAGTACAATAATCTTAGTCTTTTTTAGTTCTTATTGGTATCGAGAAGATGAGAAGAAACAAGCACTATGAATCCTAGCAATCTCTTTGAAATGGATGTCTTTAACTGTCTAAAGTAATAAGTAGAGTTGCTAGAGAAAAGTATATTTTTTATAGTCACTTGCTTAATTATGTTGAGCTACCTCACCGATATGAATTAAACATCAAGTACTGTAGGTCACTTAGATTTCTACTAAGATGAAGAGAAAAGGAGAGAGTGCTACAACTTACCATTTCATGCAAAAGTTGAGGATGATAGTTTATCTTCTTTTTTTCTTTGAGTCCACTTATTATTCTCCTCATGGTAGGAAGAGAAATACGGTGTCGAGACCTTTTATCTGTGCTCAACATCTCCTAGGTGAATTCTGTCAAGTTTAATTATGTGAGGGAGAGATAAATCTCCAGCTGTTCTGGAAGATTTCCTCTGACAACTCAAACACACAGAGGATATTTATGAGCTTTTGACTGAGGTGTATATGCTTTGGAGTTAGGGCACTGGCAGAAGAGGTAGGTACACATGCTTTAGTTCCCTCGGCTTGCAACTCCTGACTCACTCATGGACATGATCATATGGGGGCAAAAGAATTACTCATCATACCAAACAATTTCAGCTCATTTACTAACATTAACTTCATCAAATGAATGCTATACTGTTGTAGGGTAGAGAACATGTGCTGCAATACAAAGGTGAGAATATACATTCACCTGATGCCAGTGACACTTTCCAAAACATGAATGAATCAATCTGAGTTGAACTAGAATACTTGATACTAAAGGGATTGTTTCATGCTTGCAAACATGGTTTTGTGGTCTAATCTGAGAACTACATATGGAAGCTTTGAAGAGTAAGGGAGCCCTAACTTACACAAGTTTTACCATTTGCACTGAGTCATCTTTTTTGCTAGTTGTTGCATGTACCCTTCCAACCAAGCTGGTCCACACTTCATGTCATTTTGTAGCAATTGTTTTGCCAACTGCCTCAATCCTTGTTTGCATTTTAGTGAGTGTAAAGCTTCAACAACATGGGATCATTTCCTGAGCTTGTTCATGACATGTCAATGTTAAAACCATACCAACACTTGTTTCCTTCTTTTTTCTTTTCTTTACCTTTCATTAGATGTGATGAAATGTTCATTTGGTAGATGAAACCCTGAATAATAAGATACATTTATTCCAAGAGAATATTGACTTTTGAATATATTAACATGAGAAGAAAAATGCAATTATCAACATAATATTGCAAAAAAAGGACGTGAAATGAAATTTTCTCTAAAAATGTACCATGCAGAGACAATACAAGGTCGTGTAATCTTTAAATCCTGAACTGCCTTAGACCTAATGGCATATATTAGCCAGTGTAGGTAGCAACAAGCTAGTAGTGGTCCTTGATACTGTAGGACAACTCCCATGAAAACTTGGTCACATGAGCTGCTGCTGCTTCCTTTTGTGATATCTTTCCATGGGGTCATTGTCAGTGAACTCAGTTAATCTCCATACTTTGAGCAAGTGGCAAAGAGTTATAGAATACTTCAGGAGAAAAAAGAAAGTTATGGTATATAGTAGCAGTAGATATGAGAGTTTGCTCTCTTGTCAAGCAAAGGTTTGAAGGCATTAAGATAATGTGTTTTGCTTCTTGATAAACTCATACCATTTTATTGCACAATAATGCTAAATCCTACAAAATTAGAGAAATAAAAATAAATAACAAAAATATTAATTTTGAAAACCGAGTATTTTAGTTGATAAAAAAGGAGAACTTTTTTATATGCGGTCGCAAGCATAATTTGTTTTTGCAAGAGATTGAGATTGATGGGTTTGGGGGATATTAAGAATATAAATGAACATATCATATCACTTTCTATTTGAGTTAAGCTTTTTAATGGATTGATAGACTCTTAAAACTTAAAATAAAAATAAGCTTAAAATAAAATTTATATTCGGCCACCTCATTAGGAGAGTACTAATGTTAAAAATGAATAGCTCAGTCTTATCTATTAACTCAAACTTTTGAATAATTTGGTAATCAAGCATAAAATATTCATACGATAGTGCTATTAAAGGAAGAGAAAGAATAGAGAAGAAACGGAAGAGAATTATAAGAAAGAAAAAGATTTTACATATGTATTATTTTCTCACTTTATATAATGGAGTTTTTTGGGGTGAAATATGCAGAATTTATTTCACCACTTCTAAGCCTCCAAATTTTGAGTTTGCATGTTTATTCTCCTCACTACATAAAAATTCCTTTCTTATGTCATAATATTAGAAAAAAAAATGATTTCTTAAGTATTTGTCTTCAACAACAACTTTAAGGGGTCATAATTAATTAGTTGTTACATTTCTTCTTTAATAGTTGTTGATAATAATTGAAATACTTGCAAAAGATTGGAAACTATAATGTAAAAAAAATATTTCATGTTTTTTTTTGTCCTAAAAGTTGTTTAACAAATAAAAATATATATAACGATGCTTTAGGTATAGTTATTAGAACCAGATTGAGAGATCGACCCAATAGATCATTAGTTCATCTTTGAATTGATAGATCAATTGTTCAGGCCATATGTTTAATCTTTTTAAGGAATAATATATAAATTATGGAAAAAATTGATCGAAGCATGCGGGAAATAATAATCATTCTTTTTCTGTGCTCCACTGATCATCAACAACACACAGGATTTCCCAAGTTTTCCTACTTAATTGTTCTAGCAAAAATAAATTTCATTATGTGTATCACTTGCATGAACAACACATGTTGACCAAAACTTGACCTTCTGGACAATATAAAATTTCTCTTCTTCCAGTTGAAGCTCAAATCCTTGTGAAGAAATGCACAAAGTAGATACATGTTCATCCCTGTTGGGTAATTGATAGGAAGCATTTATAACACACTTCATCAACAACGCATTCATATTGGATAATAGATAGATACCATAAGAACAGAACTGGCGCCATCTTTTCACCTCACTCCTGTCAAAGGAACAGTAATAATTCAATTCAGCCCTACCAAGGAGGAAAACCTAATTTCCATGCAGTGATTAGTAGTATTTTACGGCAGTGATTAAGAACTGAGAAGTACAATATGGATCCATTGCATTCATATTGGGAATGGCCTTATTCTTAACTCTAGTGGTTGTGAAAAAAAATAAAAGAAAGAGAGAGAGAGAAGAGAGAGAGAGAGAGAGAGAGAGAGAGAGAGAGAGAGAGAGAGAGATGGCATTTGTTTCAACTTTCAATCAGGAATCAACTCATCCTATGAATTTTGATCTCAATAATGATTCTTCTAACACTTCAAAATGTGGGCATTATTGATGTTTATGATAAGATGTGATAGGTAACATAAGTAGGTATAATATAGTCTTTGCTTGACCTTAGGGAGTTGTGGTGAAGTATTTGAATTCCTGGGGACAACCTAATCAATGGAAGTGACCAGAAGTGAAAACAAGTGGATGTTTTTACATATCTATATTGTTACTATTACATCACCAATATATATGTATAAAGACTCTCTGCTAGCTACGATGAAACAGGTTCTACATGGCACACTGAAACTGTCACCAGTCCACTAAATTAGCCATTACAATAAAACCAATGTTTGACAATAACATCAGTCTTAGGAACCAAAATGGAATATGTATTACATTGTGGATTGGATCAGGTATTCTGATCTGTTAATATCAATTGGATAAAACATATATCCACATCAACAGCCTCTAGTAATAAAGAGAAACAAGCCTTTGATAAAACATGGGTTACCAAACAACAGAACAGCATATCACCAATCAACCATCACAAATGCACGGAGCACAGAGAACAAGAACCAAACTGTTATAGAGGATCAAAAAGGTTCCGGAAGAGGCTCAAATCGGTGATCAAACAGAGAGCCTTGATCAGATTTATCATCGGCACTTAGAAGCCAGCTTGCATTCTTTAAGTCCTCTTTTGTCAGCATCGCATCGTACCTGTAGCTACCATATAGATCTATGTCATTCATTCTCTCCCTTCTCATAAGGTTTTCCCTGTCTGGAGACTTGGTACTGGTGTTCATGTTATACAATACGCCTCCATTGAAGTCCCCAGAGGTTCCATCATAACTACCATTTTCGGCAAGGATTTCATCATTAGTGACAGGAACAATAGTCTCTGACACTCGAGCAGTTCGACCTTTGGGAACTGCAGACCGGATACTATGAGGAAAGATTGATGCACCCCGAATGCCCCCCAAGCTTTGTCGAATGTCCTACACCCACACATAAAGAAGACCTCAGAAGTTTGATCTACTATATATTAAGCATCTATGAACTATGTCATTATCCCGCTTTAGCTCATTGCAGACAAAGCAGGAAACAGAAACTCTTTTGCAGGAAACTTAAATGCTTAATTCAAATTTCTGCATGCATAAAAATAACTGGAGCATACCATATGCTTAATAGCCATGTCGAGTGACTTCTTTGAGATTGTTCTTCCAAATCCGGTGTTCTCTGTAGAGGAAACCGGTTTAATATTCCTGCGAGGTCCAGCTTCAGAACCCACAGGCTTTTGGTTATCAGATGAATTAGCATAGTGTCCATTGCTATGTAGAGGAGCTTTTGGTGGATTTTCTGGGAACTTGCTCCGAGAAATAATTGGTAAAGATAGCCTCCGGTTTGTAACAGAAGGAACCACTGGTTCAGAATTCGAACTAGCTCGGATGGTAAGTGCCATTCCTGGACGTGCCCTGCCAGCAGATAGAGGACGCTCAGGCAACTTTGTCCTTAGGTTTGGTGGCACATCATTGGGAAAATCTGGGAGATTAATTGGCCGCACTGGAGCCCTAGGCCGTGGATTTGGGGAGCTGGGACGAGATGAAGATACTGTATTTGCTGGAGCTCGAGGTCGTGGATTTGGAGAGCTGGGACGAGAAGAAGATGCTGAATTTACTGGAGCCCGAGGCCGTGGATTAGGAGAGCTGGGGCGAGAAGAAGATGTTGAATGTGGAACTCGACCATTGCTAACTGGCAAACGCCCAACAGATGGGGACCGCCCTACAGTCGAGGTTGGTGTTGTTGTTCGAGCAATGGGCTGACGAGTGGGCGTTGACGGCCGGGAAGTCGAACGTGCTACTATGGAACTAGAGTTTGAGTTTACACTGGTAGAAATTTGAGATCTAGAGGTTGGAGTTGCAGGCCTAGAATTCTGTGATGGTTCAGATTTAAGACCTGGAGAGACAGAGGTTGGTCGGGTTTTTTGAGGAGTGGATGAACGGATCGGCACAGGACGAGAGACTGGGGTCGATGACTTTGCAGCTGAAGGGGTAACCGGTCTCTTGCTTGGGGTTGATGGCCTTGAGGTGACCGAAGCAGAGCTAGTATTGAGGACTGAGGTTCGATTGTTATTAGATACATAGCTAGATGAGACAGAAGCACGAGTGACCGAACTACTTCTAGCAGGTCTTACAGAATGGCCATTCTCTGTTTGAGAAACAGAAAGCTGCACAGCAGATAGAAGAGTGAGATGCATTATCAAGACCCCCTTGTGCTAGCATTTTATATGTACAAACAACAAATGGATCAAGGGATTTTGTGCACTGGTATCCATCATAAAAAGCACATGATGCAAAATGATTGCAGAGAAAATCAATGCATTGATTCTAGCCCTACGAGTTTTTTCTATAATAAATTTTTGTCTCAAGTTAAGAATTTCTTTAATTTTTCAAGAATATATGAGATACTTGTTGGATTCCTACCCTATCATAAGGGTTCCCCTAGGAAAATATACGGATTCAAATACAACTAAAAAAGAAAATGTTAGTAGAAGTAAAAAAATGAGCTTCTTATAAGAAAACTCATTGATACATTGTGCAATGAAACTTTCTACCTTCAATAACTAAATAGCAAGTCAAATATGTGTCATCATATAAAGAAACTCAATCCAATTAAGATGAGTAATAGTAAGTTTACTTTAACAAAATGAAAGGTATGCTTTCAAACCATATCCTGAATAGAAATTAAATAAAAATCACTCAGAAACTAACAACAATATATATAGTGCTCCAATTTTTAACCATCTTATTAGGTATTGTAGCATCCCAAGAGCCTTGCCTAAATAGATTAATTGCATGTAAAGGCCTCCTCTTTAGGCTACTTGCATGTTAAATAACCATTATGAAGACCACTAAGTTTGGAGAATTATTCTCCTGTAATTTGTGCATATGCAATCAATAATAACAATAAGAAACTATAATGTCTCAACTATTTGAGTTAAGCTACATGGTCCAAGAAATCATAAAATTACGCATATGAATCCAACAAAGTGAAGAGTTTACAAGAGATTATAATTATTAATCTAATAAATCTTAGATGCTGGTCCAAACAAGCAGGTAAGCATGAAGTTCAACATTTGTTAAGGAAATGAGCGTTAGGATGAAGGTTAGTACTGAGACATGAGTGCTCTGAACTTTTCACGTCATAGAAATTGTCTAGTTTTGGTCATGAACATTGAGGCTCACCAATCATCTAATTAGATTCAACAAAAAAATTGGCATATTAAAAGAATAACATGCTCAAATCATATCAGCTTTATGGTACTAAAGGATGAACAAACATTTTGACTAAGAAACTTCTACGAAGAATATATGAAGAATGTCACTGAAATAGAAAATGCCACTGTAGAATATACAAACCCTAGATGCTCTTGTAGTTGAGGATGATCTAGCAGTAGAACTACGCTTAGGTGCCACAGTAGGTAACTGACTCTCACTAGAAACCAATGGAGCAGCCTGTGGTGTTCCAGGGGGAGTTAGAAGCCTGTTAACAGTTAATTTGAATTGACAAGTAATCAGCTTCAAATTTCATTAATGATGTCAATAAAAAATAGTCAACTTGTAATGCAAAGAAAAGAAAGAATACAGAATTTTAGTTCTAGCAGCATCAATATCTTAATGACAGGAGAAATTACAGTTGCTAAAGTGAAGATGAATATTTCTTAAACTCAAATATGTTTATAACATGCACCACTGGTCATGCTAAGTGCAAGTAATTCAGCTTTGCTAGGTTATAAGTGCCTCATACACCTTATTGGATACAATGTTGAACACACAATCTTTTTTTTATATATTTTAGACTAGTTATAGCCACAAGAAGGGCTGTAATTCTGTTCACTATGTAAAGAAAGAACTGCAAAGAAAACTTAGTTTAGAGATGGATAAAAAGATACGTAGCTCTTTAAGATCAATATTTAATATACTAAGAAACATTGGAGTACTGCACAATTTAGTTTCATCTAAAGTCTGGACATTTGGAAATAGGTGAAATACAAACTAGCATAGGATGATACAAGAATACAAGAAATCCCTGAAATCATGCATATTTGATTTCATTTCCTAGGAAGAAAAATACATTTTTTAGTTACCACCAATAGTGGCTCAAATTATTTGCTGAGAAGATTACACTGTATGCAATGGACCTTTCAAAAATTCACCCACATAGAGCTCATATACAATATTAAGATTGTGATTTACACATCTATTCCAATTGTCTTTTGGAGAAATTGTATTTTCCATCTGATGTAATCTTGGTAAATATTGGATGTGTTGTACTCATTTGATGGTTCCTAGTCATGCCTAACTGAAAGCATTCTCATTGAAGACATGCAGGGTTTAATATGCCAGTTTCGCAACTTCCTTATCCGACACTGAAAAGACACAGTATAGGACATTATCAGTAAAGGGAGAATGCTCCTACATAACAATTTAACATCATGAACTCAGAATTATGATCTTCATTCTTTCACTGTCATTTTTCTGTCAAAATGTCTGAAGAAATCTCAACATGATCCTTTTTGAGCATCTGATATTATGTTATAAACGCTTGTACTTAAATCACACTGTCCTGGATCCAATCAGGAAATACTCAACATTGCCTTCCCGAATGGGCATGGTAGTTCAGATGGTTGAAAATTACCAAAGGTTGCATTTTTCACACTCTATCGATGTTGTTGACCTTTAGTAAATCTTTATTTGAAACAGCACCAGTAATAACTAGTTTCTAAATATGTCAACTTGGGGATATATCTAAAACATCCAACTCACCAAAAAACATACAACAAAGTTGACATCAATGATTCAGTGAAAACACGGCTTTTGACATCAATGATTCAGGAATCTTACAAAACCTTACCAATTATCTAGAAAAAGCTTCAAATTGCAATATTTACCAATCGTAATCGTGCTTCCCGATGTCGGCATCCAGCAAATCATCCATGCCGATCCTCCCAATCTTGGGTTCCCCAACAAATTTGTTAGATCCTAGGGCCACCACCAGCAGAAAAAAGATGAATCGGCAAACGCAGCGACGAGAAGGGAAAAGCAACAAATTCAACTAGAACAACAGCCGGGACCTTCCTGGACGTCGGATCCGGAGGCAGATCCGATCGGAGGGCCAGCGATGCGGCTCCTGGAGAAAAGATCCAGCTCCAAGCCGTCCCCCTCCGCCGACACCCGCCCTCCGCTGACGAGGCTCCTCCCGCGCCGGAGAAGCAACGACGCCGCCGGAGAATTCCTCGAAGAGATCAGCGAGTCCTCGGAGATGCGGCTCATGTGAGCGCTGATGCCATCGCCGTCGTCGGAGTGGAGGGGGGTCCTCCAAGATCGGATCCAGAGTAGGAGGCGATTGAGAGCGAGAGAAGAAAGAGAAGAAACTCTTAAACAACGACAGGAGGAGAAAGCATGTATTGTTTTATTATTATATACACGCTTACAGATAGATAGATAGATAGATGTGTAAATCTTTGTATATATATATATATATATTAAAGAAAATAGGAGCAAAAAGAGGGGAAGGTAAATTGGGTAGAAGGACTAAGAATAGTACGTGGCAGTTATCCATTGGTTTGGATTCATAAGTTGGGATTATGTGTTTTCCCCCAGCGACCAAACACACAAAGCACGGTCTCCCATTGGCTAGTCGACGCTCGGTCGCGCGAGCAGTGTTGTCTCGGCCACCATTAACGGTAGCATTTGGTTAGCTATTTCCATTAATAATGAAGCCTTTTCTTTTTTTTTTTTCCTTTTTGCTAATGAAACATTTGCTCAAATATAATTGAAATTTTTTTGACAAAGTAAAATATGCACCTCTTTTCATTCCATGAATTTGCATCGATTATATATATATATATATATATATATATATATATATATATATAT